CACAATACATTAACTAGAATATTGGTTTTTTTAACATAAAAACAAACTTTCAAACATAACTAACATTTTTTTAGTAGAAAAAAATTAATAATGAAAAAGTTAACCTGATATGACTCAATCGACTCGACTAACCTAAAGAAAACCTCAATAATCCGCAAAAATATAATATGACCCAAAACATTTAAGGACGAGAACATATTGGATTGATTTGACTCAACCTAAGTTAACCTTTAAAATTTATAACCTGAGTTATGAAACTATGATAACCCTGTATAAAATTAATCAAAACAAATTATAAAACCTAGTTTCCAATCAACCCAATGATGAAATTAAAAAGAAAAAAATTCAAGTCAACTAGAGTAAACTTGTTAAATCCACGACCCATGTCAAGAGATTAGGATAATCTCATAGAAAATAAATCAAAATAAATTATGAAACTTAATTCTCAATCAATCCAATATTAAAGGAATAAAATGAAAAAATAAAATAAAAACATAACACAAAAAACAATCAGAACCAACCTGCATCATGAGACCGAAATAATATCATAAAAAATAAACAAAAAAAATAACTTGAACTAATCTGAGTTAACCTACTAAGTTTGTAACTTAGATAAAGCATATGTGATAACCCTATAGAAAACAAATTAAACAAATTATAAAACTTAATTTTTAATAAACTTATTGTTGAATAATAAAATTAAAAAAAAATAAATCTAAAAAAAAACATAATAAATAACCTGGCCTGCCTGGATTAACTGGTAAAACTCGTGATCTAAATCACGAACTCAAGATAACTTTATAGAAAATAAATTATAACAAATAATAAAATCTAATCCTTAATAAATTTAATATAAAAATATTAAAAAAAATTAAAAATAAGATATCAATTATAAATTTAATATAAAAATATTAAAAAAAAACTAAAAATAAGATATAATTAAAAAAAAAAAAACTCTTTTAGTTTTGAACATCGATGTACACACTCTGCTTTCTTCCAGGGCCCGAATAATCATAATCTTTGGATTGATTATTTGGTTATAATGTTTATGTCAATCTTGACCTGATGAAAACTCTTGTCATACCTTTCTCGCCTAGTTTATTTTCATGGCTGTATCTTTTGGTTTTTTTAACTCGGGAGTCCCACTCAAGTTTAGGTGAGCTAGTGGCTTCAAAACTCAAGGCAACCTGCAAGAGAGGAAAAAAGGGAAAACAAATCAGTATCTCCAAGCAAGAAGCATATGAACAATCAAAATCAAATAGGAAAGGTGCCTGCACTCCTCCGTGGGCATTTTTTGTCGATCGTCCATCAATGCCAATCTCGCAATGGTTCGCGATGCATGAGCAAAAACATGACAGTCATCTTCCATGTAAAAATGCAAACAGTAAGAACTTTCTAAATCCATTCCTTGCACTTTCCACGTAGCTTCTCACGACCTTTTTCTTTTGCAGGAACACTAACCACCCAACCTTGCCTACGTTGATCCTTTTCTGTAAGAATGCTGGTCAGAAATTCACTACTATGTCTGCACTCCACCAGAAACAGTGTATCAATACAAAAAATCATAAAACAGAGAAGAACATGGCATGCTTGAACAATAAGTAGGCATGTTTACGTGTACACAAAGCAAAAAAGGTATCCAAGGCATGCAAAAATGTCGAAGTGTTGCTCAAGAACCCTTGAAAGGTTTTGTTTTGACGAACGAAAGAGGCGATTGGTTAAAAAGCCAAAAACAACATGAACAATTAGCAATGCCGAAAAAAGGATTCGAAAGATGCATTGAAAGCTTAGAAAACGAGTTTTTCCTTCAACATAAGAAGCTACAAAGCAGAGAAAAAACATGTTGAGGAAAAAACCATCTCAAAGCTAACAAAAATAAAAAAAACAGGCACAAAACAAAAGAAAAAAAGCACAAGCTAACTGTTCTTAGAGCGGGCAAGAAAACAGTGGAGAAAGAGGCATGGTCATGACCAGCAAAGAGGACCTCAGCTGCCAGCTGAAAAGGCTATCATTGTTTAAGTTTTTTGCAAGTGCTGGAAACCTTTGTAAATAATTTCAAGAAAGAGGGGCGGCAACGAAGAGACTAAGCCTGTGAAGAATAACAAAAAGGTGCCCAAAGCTCGCATCGAAGCCAGGAAACATGGAAAAGGAACAACAAAACCAAGGGAAAAGGCAGAACCACAGCCATCATGCTTGAACAATAATTCCAAGGTTTCCAACCTCCTTCTTCTCCCTCTTCAAATTCTTGTTTCTCTCTCTAGCTGTCTTAAAAAAATATTTTATATTTTAATATTTCATATGAAAAAAAATCTATATAAATATAGTTTTTATATATATATATATATATTAAATAATGAAATTTTAAAAAATATTTTTAAAATTTTTTTATCATATATTTAAAAAACATATTTTTTTCTTGTAAATGTAGAATATATATTAAAAAATATATTCTTTTTTATGTTTATAGAATATATATATTAAAGAATTTCAAATCCCACATTAAAAGGATATTATGTTATCATTTTAAGTTGAAGTATTTAAATACAAATTTTTTATCTCACATTGAAAAAATATTTTTTTTCTTGTAAACATATAATATATATACGAAAAGATTCAAATCTCATATTGAAAAAAAATAATTTTTAGGAACATAAAATATATATATTAAAAGATTTTAAATCACACATTCAAAAGATATTATGCTATTATTTTAAGTTGAAGTATTCAAACCAAAATTTTTTTTATCCCACATTAAAAAAACATAATTTTTTTCTTGTGAAGATGGAGTATATATACAAAAAAATTTCAAATCTCGCATTAAAAATATAATTTTTTTCCTAAAAATATAGAAAATATATACTAAATAGTTTCAAATCTTATATTAAAGCATAAAATATTTTTCTAATATTTATATACTAAATTTAAAAAAAAATTAACAATCAATTAAAAAAATATGAAAAAAAGAGTTACAGGATAAAAACTGCATTTGAAGAAAAAAAACACCATGTCTTATTCGGGTTCTCCCGATTCATGGGTCAACCTGCTGAGTTTTGTCGGGTTGTTGTACAAACAGGTCTTTTAACAAATCTGGATCAATTCAGTCATCGGGTCAATCCGCACTGCCCGGTTCGGGTTTAATAACTGTGGTCAAGAGACTTTGCCTAAAAGTTATATTTAATACTGTAAAATTAGTAAATTTGTGAATTTTGTTATAAATTCAAGTTTTCTTATTGCATAAATTATACCAAATATTTTATTGAATCCTTAGAATCATTTTCTTATCATCAAATATGTTTATTATTTTATTTATGAACTTATTATTATTTCACGGTAACGTTATCGATTTTTAACTGTGGTTTACCTCACTACTAGAAAATTAGCAAATACAAATAAAAACACCGACAAAAATTTTCTTTCAGTATATTATAATGATATTTATCGACCTAATTTTTTCATCACTAAAATAGTAGGTAAACATCGTCAGGAATTTTAATTTTAGTCCCTTAATTTTTCAATATATGTGTAAATCTACATTTTAATCCTTTAATTTTAATTTGTTTTACATTTGATCCTTTCTATTTTTAGGTTTTTAGTTTAGATCCTAAACTTATATTTATATCCTGTATTGTAGTTTTTATATCTTGAAAAAGAAGAGAAAAGGTCCAGAAAAAATATGAGAAAGATAGTTAGATGGTCGTATTCTTATTATTAATAACTTTAATTTTGGTATTTATGAGTTTGATTTTAAAAGAAAAACTCAATGAAAATATTTTTCACTTTCAATGATAATAATAAAAAAATCATAATTTATAAATTTTTTATTTGATTTTAATTTTTTTTTGGAGCAATTATAATGTATTTTGTTGTAAGAGATGATATTGTAGACGTTCATGAGATTTTTTTTTTTCATATTTTGGGTGGAAAAAATAGTTGAGATATAGGTTTTTTTAATCTAAAATCTTAGACTTTTATTTTTCATTTACTAGAGCCACCTTTAGCAATAAGAAAAGATAGTTAATGGACAACGTGTTGTTGACCATGGTGGGTGATGCATTTTACCTTTTTAATAAAATATAAATAAAAACTAGGTGTGTAAGCGTAGGTTTATGAGTCTAAATTTTCATGTGAGACAAGCATGCATGTCTAGCCCATACAAGCTTGACTTCTTCTTTTTTTTTTGTATTTTATAATTTAATTGTTATAAAATGAATTTAATTAAATGATGTTTAAATAATTGCTCAATCATGTAATTATTTTAAATAATATTAGCATCTTTCAAGGTATTGTTAATAATTTATTTTTGAATAATTATATATAAACTAGATATGCATAATTTTCTAAAATGCAAATATTTTAAAAATTTTTATAGTAAATATTTTCTATAATTTTTTCTAAAGTTTATTATTTATATATTATAGAATTATTTAATTCATCATGTTTTTTTATATTAAAACCTATTTTCAAAATTATATCTAAGTTTTTGTTTTAAAAGAAACTTTTGGTAATTATTTTTTTTAAAAAGAGCCCATTAACAAGGAAACATGTTTCTTTTTTAATATTTATTTAAAATCATTTGAATATTTGGGGATGTTAATCTTAATTGTTTACGGTATACATAGCTAAAGAAATATTTTTTATGTAAAAAAAGCATGAGAACTTATATTAACAATTATATATTTTCAATATAATTTAAATTATTATACTAGCGATGAAGACTTTTTTAATAATTTATTGGTTTATATAATATTTATTTTATTTTATGGAATAAAATTATAAAATTATTAATTCTGAATTAAAAGTATGTATTTACAATAATCGCACATTCTTTTCTTTCATCAAGGATTGAATTGAGATTCTATTTGTAAGGGAAGCAAGATAAATGGTTAACAACAGGAGGAAGGACAGGCGACCACAAAGAAGGTATAGGGACAAAATCGTAACTGTGATAGAAGAAAAGGACAGCTGTAAGTTTGTTTCTAGAAAAAGAGCACTGCTAGTTTTACTCCCCGCAATGCAAATACGGTTATTTATCAAATCGTAGATAACAGATTTTTATTTCCTAAAATTCTTCTGCCACCATTTACTATTGTATCTTATTATTCTTTTAAAAAATTAGAGAGTTGGCCTTCTATCTATGGTGGAAAACGCAAAGCAATACAAAGCGAAGCTGGATAAAGAGAAGCGAAGCAAGGCAAGGCAAAGCTCCCCACTCTCTCTCTCTCTCTGCCCTGCTTCTCTCTTCTCTCCTCTCTTTTCATTTTATTGAGGGATAGGGTACAGGTAAGGTGGGGAGGGGGGGTAGAGTTCACGGTGGCGCACACTAGCACCAGGGTCTAATTGTGCGCCCTGGTTCGTTTCATGGATTCTTGTAGTCGCTTCGTTCTCACGGTAATACTACTTTGAAAGGAAAAGGGTGGGAGAGAGAATCGAAAGTTTCCTTTCATTTAATCCACGCATCAACTGCTGCTACAGAGAGTGTAGACCAAGCAAGCCTGGCGGACCTCAAGGGAACCTTGGCGTTCCTTCGATCGTCCCTTATTTCAATAGTGGCAGATCGGTTCGATTTCAAATCAAAGAAGAAGAGGAGGAGGAGAGGGATTTACGGTGCGAAAATGCTTTGGATTCTACGATTTTCAGGCTTCTTCTCTGCCGCTCTCGTCATGATTATACTCTCTCCGTCCCTCCAATCCTTCCCTCCAGCTGAAGCCATTCACTCCTCCAATCTCGACGGTCACCTCCGTTTCCCCCTTCTCTCCCCTGCAGATTCCCGCACCCAACTATCCTTCCGAAAATCGACTATATTCCGCAATGCTGATGAATGCGGCTTCTCCGACCACCAAAGCAGAGGCAAAACCAGTGTCTGTGATCCTTCATTGGTCCACGTAGCGATTACTCTCGACGTGGAGTATCTTCGTGGCTCAGTTGCTGCTGTTCACTCAATTCTGCAGCACTCAATGTGTCCGGAGAATGTGTTCTTCCATTTTTTAGTATCTGAGACCAATCTGGAATCCCTGGTTCGATCCACTTTCCCTCAATTGAAGTTCAAAGTTTATTATTTCGATCCGGAGATTGTTCGGAGCCTCATTTCCAGCTCAGTTAGGCAAGCGCTGGAGCAGCCACTCAATTATGCTAGGAATTATCTGGCTGATTTGCTTGAGCCATGTGTTAAAAGAGTGATTTACTTGGACTCTGATCTAGTTGTCGTTGATGATATTGCAAAGTTGTGGACAACTAATTTGGGTTCTAGAATAATCGGGGCTCCAGAATATTGCCACGCCAACTTCACTAAGTATTTCACGGCGGATTTCTGGTCCGAGAAGCGGTTTTCAGGGACATTTCGGGGGCGGAAACCCTGTTACTTTAACACTGGAGTGATGGTGATAGATCTGGTGAAATGGAGATGGGCCGGGTACACGAAGCGGATTGAGAGGTGGATGGAGATCCAGAAGAGTCACCGGATTTATGAACTGGGTTCGTTGCCGTCGTATCTTTTGGTGTTTGCGGGACACGTGGCGCCGATTGGGCACCGGTGGAACCAACATGGGTTAGGTGGAGATAATGTGAGAGGGAGTTGCCGGGACTTGCATCCGGGTCCGGTTAGTCTATTGCATTGGTCAGGTAGTGGAAAGCCGTGGCTCAGGCTCGACTCAAAGCAACCGTGCCCTCTTGATGCACTGTGGGCACCATACGACTTGTACGGACGCCCACCTTGAAAAACTCTGCACTACTCGCCGGTAAATTAATTACCCTTCAGGAAACGTTTTTTTGTTAATTTATTTATTTATTTCTTTTTTTTTTGTTTTATAATTTCTCATATTTTGGCATTTGTTCTTCATAAGACCTCATTTTTTTTTTTAGTTTTAATTTCAAGTCATTTCTGAGGCGATTTGTATTCTATTCTATCACTCCTGCCTTCGAAAAATAAAAATAAAAACAAGGGGGACATTCAATTTGTTATGGTGGTGCATCTTGGTGTGTTGTTAAAAGTTGCAGCAATTAGTGCAAAACAGAACATATCTGCTAAAGAAGAGGTAGAAAGCTGTCCACCTCCTATGGAGGGAGACAGTTCATATTGAATGGAATAGACAAATAGTAGCAGTGAAGTGTCCGAATTGCGTGTTTTAATGCCATTAAATTATTATATCAATTGCAAATTGCAATTGTAAATTTGTTCTGTGTCGGTGTCGGTGTCGGTGTCGGGGCCGGTGCCGGTCTGGTCTGATCGGGCACCATTTGCTTTGTTTTATTTCCTGTGAATTTCTTCTCTTTATTTAGTACTCACTTCCTTTTAGTAGTGTCCGTGAGTTTAGTGGTGAGAGTCACAAGGTATGGGGTAATGGGGTGCACACTTGACACTGCAGAGGGGGTTAGGAGGGTGGACTTCACGGAGGGCGGCTTTTGTCCTCTTTTCGGACGAATCAGAGGCCATGTGAGTAATGTATAACACTGCTTGAGAAAGGGACTTGGAATAGTTTTTTTTTCCCTCTTGGCACCCCATTTTTTAGAATTTTTGTAGAGACACTCTACTGGTAGCAATGAAAGTAAGAAAAAGAAAGAAAGAGACACTTGAACGATAAGCTTACAATGCGTATAGGTGGAGTGTAATGAACCAAAAAGGATAGGGGCCATGGGCTGGGGCATGTGAGCCAAAACTTGTTTGCTAGGCGGCTGTCCATTTTGTGTGATGGCCGAAACGAATGCCTTGTATCCAAGCCAAGGGAGGGGTGCCGACCGTCGGAGCTAATTTGGAGTCAAGTTTTTATAGTAGCGAAGTCCATGGGCTGCATTTTGCCTTGCTTTGGTGGCAGCGGCGGACTTGTGAACCACCTCTTCCTTCCTGCCCCGTTGCGCATTTTGGTGGCAACCACGTCTTATCTGTGTATGTTTATTTATTTTTTTAATTTTTGACAAGTCGACTTGAAGAAATGTATGTATAAAAAAAGCTTGGACGTTGGGTGATCAAATTTATTTTGTGGCATCAAAAGAGGGACCCATATGTCATTGTTGCGTAGCAAATGTCCAAAGTAGGGATGGGGACCGATTCCTTTTGCCCTGGCATCACACGTGGCCAGTTGCCTGGACTCTCCTGGAATCAGCTGGTTACATGTGGTTAGTCCAACACCATTATTGGGTTGTATTTTTTTTATTTATCGTATTAATTATGGAAATAAAAAACTAGGTATTTGTTGGGTATTTCCATTGGAGGCTGCCCGTCTGCAGAAGAGATATTTCTGTGTACATCGTTATATAATACAAGTAATGCTGATTAAGAAATGGCAACAGCCTTGAGTGTTCAATGAAATCACAGAGAAGATGAATCTGACTTTGACAGCTTTGCTTCACAAATTATTGCAAACCGCAAGTTAATTTATTGAGATATATAGTCTATTCAATGGAGATTTGATATGGTCATATGGTTCTCCAGAGGAGAGGAAGAAGTACGTGTTCCAGACCACGGACTGCACGAAATTTTCAGTATTTATTGTGCTTTCGGAGGTGGTAGGTTGTTCATGGGGGTGGCATTGAAGGTAGATGTGTGCTTTATTTTTCTTGAAGTTCAAAAAAAAAAAAAAAAAAAAATGGAGATGGAGCAATCTTGCATGCTTCGATCGAGGTGTCTTGAGTCGAGAGGCAATTGAAGGCTGATAGCATGTCATGATCAGTCGGTCCACGCATGAAAGATACATGGCTACCTTCCGCATCCAATTTACCTCTACCGAGCACAATATAACACTCAAAACAAAACAAAGCAAATCGGTCCCTTGGCATCATCTATAAACTTCGACTTGATGTCTCACGACATTGTCGAGGATGATGGAATTTTGAACAAGAAATGATTATTAACATTACTGCCGACACTAAACAAAGAAAGTATCAAATTTTAGAAGGTAAACGCTACATTTTAGAAGACTGTTCTGTGATGATGTCTTTAAAATCCAAATAGTTTATGGGGGTAGTATTTATATCTTGGATAATTAATTAATTTTTTAATTTTAATAATTTTAATTTTTACTAATTGGTTATGATGATTGATTGTTGATAGCTGCAAAAGATCTTTTTTGGTTGGGAATTTTTTAATATTTAAATAAGTATTTTTTGAGATAAAAAAACAATAATATTTTAAGGAGAGACTTGAAAATAAATATGCAGTAAAAAATGAAATTTGTGAATCTTTTTTTTCATTGAAGGATTTATAGGGTCTTTATAGTTCATGAGTCTTGTTCTTTTGTAAAAGGCTGAAGTATTGTTTTGTCCTAATAGCATTAACGAGGAAAAAAAATCTTGGTATATGGATTAAAGAAGGATAAATATCCCTTATACATTATTATTATAGGATAAGTGGCAGGTCATTTTGAAAAAAAAAAAAAAACTATACACCTAGAGATGTAGAGAGATAAGTACCATTAATCTTAACATTTTATGTTAAAGGTTATAAGAAAAAAATAAAAGGAGTTTTGTGGCCCAATAGGAGGGTCAGAAAGATCATTAGTTTTATATTTACCTAGGCTCGATGAGATGCTTAGCTTAAGGATATCAGGTTTGATAACTTACTAAACCTACATGTACTTGAATGCAACACGTAGCTAAGCCTAGAGGTTGTTAGGTTTGGTAGCTCGACAAACCCACGTGTACTTGGGTTTAACACATAGTCTAAGCTTAGGGATTGTTAGGTCTGACAGTTCATCAGACCCATATGTACTTGCGCTCAACCCGTAACCACGCATAAGGGTGTTGAGTTTGACAACTTGCTAAACCCATATTTACTTAAGTTTAATACGTGGTTAATCCCATAAATTATTGGGCCTATCAACTTTTAGATTCACATGTACTTAGGCTCAACATATAGTTGTGCCATAAGATTGTTGGGTCTAGCAGCTAACTAGATCTATATGTATGTAGGCTCAATGTGTAGTCTTGTTTTCTTTATAACCCTCATCATTCCTATTTTTATTTTATTTTTTACTTTCATTTTATATAATTTATGAAAAACAACTTTGTACTTGGGCTCAACATATAGTCTAAGTCTAATGATTGTTAGGTCTGACAGCTCGCCAGACCCATATGTAGTTGATTTGTTTTTCTAATCGTTGGTTTGTTTAATAGTCAAAACAAGTTCACCCCAGTTGAGTGAACCATTACTTTATGGGTTAATCTTAGTCATTCTAAAAATAAGATAATAATTTTTTGTATCTCTTTTTTGTTTCTTTTAATATCTAGAATACATATAAGTTTATAATAAAGGAATTAAAATAAACAAACTAATTTCTTTGGTGTTATTAAAATATTGGTCAAGTTCTCAAGAATTCAATAAACTTGCTATTAAATCCAAATATGCATGTAAAGATATAAAAATAATTCTTTTTCTTTAATTTTTGTATTTTTTAAAAATGCTAATTCTTTTTATGCAAATATAATTTCTATTTGAGATACTTGACCACATATAATTTAAAAATATTTAGTAGATTTTTTAAAGATAGATTTTAATTGTTTTTACATTTTTTAAAATAAAGAATGTTATTTAATATCAAAAAAACACTTCACTACATGTCACAATCCCAAATAATAAATAATAAAGAGTGAAATATAAGAAACATAAAAAATTACAAATACATCAATTGGACACATAAATTGATTTAATTAAAAAACAAGGGCCATGTTTAGAAAATACAAAAAAAAAAACACTACTAGAAAATCAATAGGGTGTTTGATAAACATACCCTTAGCAAAAAATTAGAAGTTTAAAAATTACCTTAAGGTCATGATTGACAAACACATTTTAAGGATATGAAAAATATTTTTTTATTTGGAAAGTTTTTTGCATACCAAACACGCTTTTATCTCAATGGACTTAACCCAACCCAAAGCCTAAAAGCAAAGCAAAAAAAAAAAAGAAAAAAGAAAAAAATTCATTCTCGTATTTGTAAAAGAGAAGATCAAAAGATTGTTTTGCTTGAATTTTGCTAAGAACATGAAAAACACACCAAAGAACATAGAAATACAATCAATGATGTAGTTCATATTTCATCAATTGAAAAGCACAATAGATAGATAATGTAAAATTGAAACAAAATGATGCATTGGATAAGAATAAAAAACCAAAAATGACTAAAAATCAAGCTTGACAACCAAGAACACAAACCCTAACATTCAAACTTTTAAGGATTAATCAATCCAAAATAAGAGATTAATAGATAAATTAATGACAGAGAACAAACATGTATGAGTCTCGGCTTCGACTAAAGTGTATATATAAAGCCAAAACATTAGTTTGTAGGAAATCAAAATCTGCATCCATGAATGTTCAACAGTGAACATAAAATCTTCCTGAAACCCATAAAAAAGATAAAGTTCCAATATCAAGCTTTAAACAAAACCAAAACAACTTTAAGCATGCTTATATTGACCTACCAAAACTCTCAAGAACATGAAAGAAAGGAAATACAAATAAAAACAGAGATTTAGCTATAAAGCCACATAAGAAAACAAAAAGGGATAGACTTAATTGTAAACATTATTTTATTGATTCTAACATCTACTCATGACTAACATTATCATAAATTTAGTTTCATCAACCCACTTTCCACCAAGAATAACACAACCATGCTTTTGCTGAGAAACAACAAGAATAAAAACAATCTTATCTAACTGTTTAAGAATCTAAACTCGCTAGAATACCTCTTAACAACATTAAATTACATCAAAACAACATTAAGATAACAATCTATGCCTTAAATCCAATCTTAACACATATGGATATTAATTTAAAAAATAAACAAATGCATCTAAATACAAATGTTATCAAAAAAATTAATAACCAAAGCATAATATTTGAACCAATAATCAAACAATAGTTCAATAAAGTATTAAAAGAGGAGGATATGGTGTTATCATTAAGCTACACATCCCATCAAAGTTTGAAGGTATAATTTGTATGGAGGATTTTGATTTCTTATTTAGGTTAGTTGCTTATTTCCTTATAATTCTTAACTTGTTTTCAATGTGAGATTAATCTTGATTCTCTTCCTCCCTTCTTAACACACAATAATTATAGCTTTTCTTTTAACCAATTATAGGCTGTTCCCCTCAATTTCACTGTGTTTCCTTTCTTCATCTTTGTGATTTCCTTTAAAATAAACCTTCATTTACGCAAGAACACTTACTCTTTTATAAGCAAACTAAAACTAAAAGTTGCAAAACCATAGTGGTTTCACACAAATGGATGGTTTATGAAAGATTCTTGCTCATCCTCTCCACCAACCTTTCTAGAAATATATATTCTGATTTATTTTTTCCTTTTATGAGCTCAAACCTATCAATAGAAAGCAACCAAGAAGTTTGCTTAAACATGCAATTTTCTTCTTTAGTTATGACTGACCTAGTGGACTATTTTGGCGAGATCACAGTGGCAAATGAGATATAATATAGGAGGATATAAATCATATAAAGGAGATTCATATATATCATTATGAACAAACTTCATATGATCTGAATGTCTATAACCCCTTATTCATCTACTAAAAGGTTGGTTCCCACTCAGCCTGCATCTGTCAACACAAAAGAGGTTAACTAGGATAAGACGTTGTCAACATCATTGAAGCAAATCAGATGTAAATATTTAAAAAGAGCAACTAATCCTTGTAGAGAAGATGTTTTACAGTCGAGTGGTGGTTGTTGGAGCCCCTAAAGTGGTCAGAGATGCTATGTTCTTTCACTTGAAAGTGACATCTTGATTAGCCTTTTTGGTTAAAAAAGAAGTAAACATGGATGAAATGATGTGTCATTTAATCTCTTCATTAAAAAAAAAAGTGACATGTCATCTGTTTAAGCCCTAAAAAGTAGGATTTTTAATTGTGATTTCAGGAAATTTCAATTTGGTCCTTACCTTTTCAATTTCAGCATAGACACCTCAATTGACCTTGAAAATTCTTAATTTTTGCAATTGCCTCCCTCAAAACCTTGATTTAAATCCTTTAATTTGATTGCCTTTTCCAAGTTATTCCGCAGTTTCTATATTATTCAATTTGACACTTACCGACCATTAAATTTTTAATTTTTTTTCAAATTAACCCCTGAGTTGATTAATTTCAATTCTCAAACTCACGTGCCTTTTTGCACATTGGTTTTTGGTTTTGAAATTTTTCAATTTAGCCCTCAATCATTATTTAATCTTTAAATTTATTTCAAATGAACCTCTAATTGCATCAATTTAGACTTTCAAAGTTTTAATTATCCCTTACTCTTCAAATCTTTGTGAATTGTTTTGAATTAAGCCTTCGAAC